GAGGGGAAGAGCCCTGAGTCTGACCTGGATCTGGGAAGGAAAGTAGTTTGGGAACTGTATTTCCAAGGCTTACTCTGGCTTTGGACCTGGAGGGATGCCAGGCTTGCCTGATCGTGAATGCCTCACCAGCTTTCAGAGGCCTGAGGCCAACCCTGGCTTGGGAGATCAGTGGTGGATGGAGACGTGGGTCACACAAACCCCGGGCTCTGCAGGCCCTGCTCCACTCCAGTGTCACATCTGTCACTCTGCCCAGCTGGAACCTCGTCCCTTGTGACCCCATGGACACAGCAAGACTGGGGAGCTCTTGCAAACCACACCAGATGATTTGGGTCTGGGGGAGCTGTTGTGATTTCCCCCTGGAAACTGCTGTGGGTGTGACAAACAGCTCAAGAGCTGCCTGAGGGACCTGCCTGGAGAGGCACCCACCACAGGAAGCATCACAAGTCAGACAGGAATTCCTCAGTGCAGCTGCCAACCCAGGTGTCATCACTGGCTGGAACAGGACATGTTCCCCCTCACTAACCAGGGAAAGCCATTAGAATAAAGTAACTCAATAATACACTCCTCTGTTCCTCCCCGGGACTCTCCAAAACCTCACTGCGCCTTAAAAATATTTATTAATTAATCCTGCTGAAGGGTTTCTACTGCCATTAACTGCTGACATGGAGCACATGGTTCATGCATTTCCTAGAATCCACTCAGAGCTGACTTGCAGGGGCAAGCAACTGAGAAAAAAAACTTGAGGCAGAGGCAGCAAAGAGAAATCTTAGTGCCAGACCCAGAATCCTTGACTCTGGACCAGAGCACTTCCAGCACAGACGAAGGACAACCATTGTGATCCTCACTTCTGAGTGATTTTTAGCCCCAGGAAAATATCCAGCACCGTTTACAAAGTGGTTTCTTGCAGGAGCAAACCCAAGTGCTTCTGCTGCTCCAACAGCTGCAGCCATTGCCATGCAGGGGCTGCAAGGAGCACAGGTCCCTGAGTAGCACCATCACAGCCCAAGGATTGATCCTGCCAGGGACCTTTCCTACCTTGGAGATAACTGCTCTTTCTCCAGTGCATGAGGCCATCATGAAACACAGTGACAGGCTGGGAAAACACTCAGTTCAGAGTAAATCAGGGCTTGGACTAGATGACCTTTAAAGGTTCCTTCCAACCTAAATTATTCTATGATTTTATGAAATTGAACTACAGAAATCCTGTGATATTTCAGACATTCAAAGGGGTCCTGCCAAGCATATTCCTCACCATGCTTTTGCAAAAACATTGCTGCTCTTGAGAGTGGTAAAGCCAAGGAGAGGGGATGGTATTTTAGGGCCTATATCCTTAGGTCACTTCACCCTGTGAGCTCAGAGGAATAGCTGTTGGATTGTGTTGCAGCCAAGCACCCCACGGACCAGGCACCTGGTGTGGCCCTGCCTGGGGGGATTAACTGGAACTGCTGCTCCCCTGCAGCCCTGCCCGTGCTGCTGGACTGGGTCACGAGAAGCAGCTCAGGCCTGAGGCAGAAGCTCCCTCGCTCAGGCAGACCTTGCCCAGCACTGCAGGACTGGTGGCTCTCTGCTGATGCTGAGCAGCCCAAAGGGTTTCTTTCATTTGTGGGGTCCACACATTCCACCTGCACCCCAAGGACCAGAGCCCCTCCTGGCCTGAACTGCACATAGATTATCTTTATTACAGGACTGTTATGTTTGCACAGTTTAGTGATTTAATATCAGTTTAAAGCCTTCTCTGTGAGCAGTGCTGTTTGAAGTCATGCTCTCTCTTTTCAGCTCATCTTGCCAAGACTGTAAAACCTTTATTGCCAATGGTGGAAAAGCTTAAAGAAGCCAAGATAACTTTCCCAGGCTGGGCATTAAGACTGGGTTCGGATAAGTAAATAAGTGAAGAGTATTACATGGACCTCATTAAATATCAACCAACACCAACAGCCACTCATTTATAACACAACGGCAGGGCGAGGGAGCACCCAGGAGCAGAGCTGGGAAAGGTATGAATCACATGTGATAGGAGAGATGAACACGAGAAGGGCTGGAATTGCCACGGAGCTCCAGGTGTGGCTCCCAAGGTCACAACACAGCTCCTGAGTGAAGCTCCTGCAAAGACTGGGAGCTGATGAAGTGGCAGGGTTGGTGTAGTTCATCTCCTCTCAGCTGGGGAGGGCTGTGGGCACGTGGTGTGCGTGTCCTTCTCCCTTCTGCCACAGCGGGTAAGGACAAAATTCTCCCTCCTTGCAGGGAGACTTTAAATTCAGGCTACAGCCAGCACATCTCCCGGGACTGTCAGTTCTTGGATGTTTTGTTTTTTAGCTTTTACTTCCTTGTAGACAACTCCTTACTGGTTTCTAGTCACAGGATGCCAACACCAGGAAGAGTAAATTACAGAAAGTCTTGCTACAGTTCCTGTGATTTCCTGTGCCAGTACTTTAAAACTCCCCCTACAACTTGGCTTGGTGTTTGAAACCCCTCTGTTCCCTTCACCATCCACTGCTCTTCATGAGTTCAACACTCCCCACATAAGAAAAACTGAGGTAAGGACCACCCCCAAATTATATTTCACTTCCAGCCCTTCCTCATTATGAAGTATTCTCACTTCTACCTTCCTTCCTCATTTTCTCTCACCTGCCTAAGGCTCTTGCTCTCATTTTAATATCCTGTTTCATATCTCTCAGTGTGATTGCTACTGATTCTCCCTTGTTTCCTGCCCTTTCTGTTGCCCAAAGCAGAGCTTCCTTCACACGTCACTCCTTTCAAACATCCCTGCTTACTCCTAACACCCTGTTGCAGCAGCCATTAACCAGTCAGGACTGGAACTGTCACCTCCCTGCTACATTTTCCTCCCTTGGCTTGAGAGGTGCAAATTCCAAGCAGATTTTGCAACCTTTAGCATAGATCCCCATGTGCAGCTCTAGTATCTCCCAGCTGTTTGGTGTTTTGAAGCCTTTTCTCAAATCAGCAATTTGCCAGATCAGGTGATCCAGGAAACTCTGCCATCCCTTCAGCTGTGAGGCCACAGCCTCATCTCCCCAGCACGCATCTCCCTCTCTCCAAACTGTTTGTAGCTGCCAGTTCCAGGCTCTTAACTCTGCCCTGGGACTCCAGGGGCTGCTCCTGTCACACTTGTGCTGCAGGAGCTGTTTGAATGGAAAAGGGATCAATGCAAGTTCTCTTCTCCTCCTGAGGTCCCTTCCAACCTCATTTTCCCCACAATCTCCTGGAGAGGGCGTGGAGCAACATCACAAACAGGTCTAATTCAAACAGAACCAGACTGGTCCCAGCTTCAGGCACCAGCTTGCCAGGTTGCACCCTGGTCTGGGCTGGCCCATCAGCACAGGGTGGAATCACTGTACTCCCCTTCTCTGGAACATCTCTGTGACACACTCAGTTTGTTCCATACTGCCAATATCTCTTGCCAGGTGCGGTGCCACTGAAACATTTTCCACTTTGGAAGGGTGAGTCCTTGGAAGAGAAATAAATCAGAGCTGAAGCTCTGATGCTGCAGAAGGGCCTCTATTCCTACTGCGGGTTCCTGGGATTCCCGCTCTTGTCCAGCTATCTTTGACTCCCTCTCCTGGCTGAAAACACGGGTTACAGCCAGGAGAAAAGTGTGGAAACCACCACGCTCCGTGGATCCTCCAGCCTGGGGACAGCCCGGATGCTGACCAGAGAGATGCTGAAGTGTTTGCAATCTCTGCATCCTTGATCAGCAGGGTTAAACATGTTGTTCCCCCTTCCCCAGCACTCCCTGTGGAACCCTTTGTAATGCAGCAAGCCTGGGAGTGACCACCTGTTTTATTTTTATTGCAAATTCCACGCAGAGAGGTCAGGCATCACCACCTGAACTCCTGTGGGATACGGCTCTCTGCCCTCTAAGAAACCAAACCAAAGCCAAACACCCCAAAAAATCTCCCTTTACTAATATTTAGCCCCTCTGTTGGCATTTAAATTCAGAATATAGCCAGCATATCCCTTGGGCCCTGCTTCCACCCAGCTGTGCTTCCTGGTCCCTGCTTTGAGGCTGCCCTAACTCTGGCCAGGGAATTCCACAGTTGCTCTGGCTGACAGGGAGCAGCTCCAGGGCCCGCAGATGGTGCTGTGGCCCTATTTTCACCTGCCTTTCTCATCTGTTCTGGGGCTGGGAGGTCACTGCTGTCTCACGGACACCGGCTCGGCCACAGATGGGGACAGTGGGCTGGGAGAGACCCTGGGGACACGTCAGCTCATTACCTGTATGTATCTGTATATTATAAATATATAAATATAGATACATATATACTCACATACACATATGTGTATGTATATGCATATGTATACATATGTGTAATGTATATAGTATTTATAATACATAATATATAACAGCACGTATATAACATAGCATTATTTATAATATATCATAGTATACACTATGATATATATGTATGGTATATGTGTTATATACTATTATATAGAAATAGTATACACTATGATATATATGTATGGTATATGTGTTATATACTATTATATAGAAATAGTATATACTATGATATATATGTATGGTATATGTGTTAAATATATCCTATTATATATATTATGTATATACACGGGTATATATTATGAATATACACGTAATATGCACATATGTATGCATACGTACAGATATACGTATATAATGCACACATCACATTAAAACACATGATTTTATATTTTTATACACTCTTTATTTCTTTACTTTTTTCCACTACACATGCACACAGCTGTGCCTTCGCCGCCGGCGCTGACACGCCGTTCTGCCGGGGGACAAGGCGGGACCAGAGGGCAGAGGTGGCCAGGCGGGAGGATGCCGGGGATGGAGGAACACGCGCGTTTTCGGTCCGAGGCCGAACCACGCGGGGAGGCGGCGGGAGCAGCTGCTCCCTGAGGGAACCAGGAGCAGGATTAGGATTAGGAGCAGGATTAGGATTAGGAGCAGGAGCAGGAGCAGCCCCAGGCCGGCCCGCCCGCACCCATCGCGCAGCCGCGGCCGCGCCGTCATTTCCCGGCGGCCGGAGCCGTTCCGGGGCGGCGGGGCCGGGACCGCGCTGCTGCTGCGGGAGCTGCGGGAGCTGCGGGAGCTGCGGGAGCTGCGGTACGGGGGAATGGGGGAAGGGGGAGCGGGGGAGCCGGAGCTGCGGGGCCGTGTGCGGGCCATGCCGGGCAGTCCTCGCTCCGCCCGCCTCCACAGCACCGAGGGTCGTGTGCTGCCCGTGCCGGGCTGTGGCGGGGCGGGCGCGTCCCTGGGAGCGGTCCCGGCGAGGGGAGGGCTTGGCCCGAGTGCCGCGGTGTGGGACGGGGGTTCCTCTGGCAGGCCGGGTCCGTGTGCCAACGTGCCGGGGTGCTGTCGGGTGCTGTGAGGGGCTGAATGCGAACAGCTCAGCGAAATAAAGGCGTGCTTTTCCCCCTCCCGGCCCCAGGCCCAGCTGCGGGAATTTATGCCGGGCTTGGAGCGTTCTGATCTCACGTTGTTCTCTGTCCACCTGTGACTGGATTTAGGAATGCAGCCCCCAGTTCAGAAGCACTGGCACCGTGCTGAAAACTGGATTAAGCCAACCTTAGTGCCCATGCATTGCTGGCAGGAAAGTCTGCAGTTTCCTTAACCTGCTCGTCCAGTCTGTGCACAGCAGCCATTTCTGAAGTTCCTGAATTGCAGCTCCTCCTGAATTGCTCAAAACACTCAGTGGGCAGAGATGGTGCTCAGAGCCTGTGTTTGCCAGAGGCTGTCTGGGCTGAGGAGGGAGAGCTGCTCAGGGGAGGGTGTAGTTTGACCAAATGTGAGAATCCTTCCTAACTGTGACGTGTTTGATTTGCTTTAGTTTCCAGCTGGACATAGGAAATAAACATTAAGGTGAATTAAATTATGTATGTCTGCAATGAAGCGGTGTAATTTTGTATTTTTAACTTTGTTTGTTTGGTTAGGTTTCATCCAGGGTAGTTTTCTAGCTGCCAGGCAGGATAAAGAGATTAGAGAAACCTGCACTTTCTAATCCTGGTAAGATCATTAAAATGTCTGGACTGTGCATCTGGCTGTAGTGCTGGTTCTTTGAAAGGCGGCGTCCTTAGCTGGAAACAGAGGGATACAGAACATAAAAAAATATGTAAATCATCAATGTTCTTGTCAGTCCGTGGGATTGTTTGTCATGTGCACACTTGGTTTTGACAGATTCCTGCTGCATTATGTCAGGAGACAGCGACTGCACCAGGACAAGTCCATCAGCAGGGTCTCCATCGGACAACGAGCTCTTGCCGGACCGCCCAAAGTATGTTTGTTCACTGTCTCCTGATCTCGTTACCAAAGCCCGGGAGGAGCTCCAGGAGAAGCCTGAATGGAGGCTCCGTGACGTGCAGGCGCTCCGGGACATGGTGTGCAAAGACTACCCCTCCCTGGGGACGTGCCTGGACGATGCTTTCTTGCTGAGATTCCTCAGAGCCAGGAAGTTCGATTACGATCGAGCGCTGCAGCTCCTGGTGAACTACCACACCTGCAGGAGGACCTGGCCCGAGGTGTTCAGTAACTTGAAGCCATCTGCAATAAAGCCTGTCCTGGAGTCAGGCTTTGTCACTGTGCTGCCTCATCGGGACCCGGAGGGGCGTCACGTCGTCTGCATCCGCCCAGGTACTCCATGAATGCCTGAATGTCTTTGTTCTCCGTCCTCGAGGTGTGTCTGGGCCAAACACCTGTTCCCTGCTCCCCTGAACAGTGGGGACTTGTACAGAGGGTGTGGGTTCTCTCTGAAATTCGAGAAAAGCTGGCTTGTGAAGGGACACGCTGGTCGTTGGCCAGCGTTATTGCAGTTCCTTTTCCTGTGTCAGCAGTAACTGCAGTCGTGTCGAAATGAAAGTGCAGTGAGGTGGGTTGATGAAATATTAGACAATTCAAGGAAAATTAATGTGTAGTAACTCAAACTGAAGCAGGGCTGCTGGCCTACGCCTAGAAGCTTGTGATTTGCTTTGAGAGTAAGCAGAGAGAGGAGCCTATGGCTCTGACTCCCATGTAAATAATCAGTCTTCCATGTGCTTTTGGTGCTGCCAGGCTTGCTGTAAATTTGTCTTCATTCATCCTCCTCTTTTCCATTTACCTGCTTTCTTTCTGAGCTGAAACTGCTAATGAGCTGTGCTGTGTGGAGAACGGGGTTCTGAAAACCATTGCCTTTGCTCCCTGAAGTAAACATGAGTTGCCATTGCCCTCTTGCTTAAGAAAGGTATATTTCTTAATATATACAGTTCTGCTCTGAACTAGAACTGTGGCTGTTAGAGACTAGCCTTTGAGAGTCCAGGAGAACAGAAATTCAGTTTTTGGAATGTGTTTTGTTAGCTTATCTTTCCTCTCCGACTTACCATCCATGTCTTGTAACCTCAGACAGATGGACACCCAGTAATTATCCGATTACTGAGAACATTCGTGCCATATACTTAACGTTAGAAAAACTCATTCAGTCCGAAGAGACCCAGGTGAATGGAATTGTAATCCTGGCAGACTACAAAGGAGTCAGCTTATCTAAGGCGTCTCATTTTGGTCCTTTTGTAGCCAAAAAAGTGATTGGAATTCTTCAGGTAAGACCTGAACTGGTGGGAAAATAAGCTTGTGCATTGTAAATGACTGCTTCTGTGTCTAGAGTTCTTGACTGTGTCACCACAAACTTCATCATCTTGGCTTTTGCCAGCAGAGTTGAAACATGTCTCTGCCCGACCAGTTTCTCACACCCTTTCTGCCAATTTACCTCACTTGCCCTTTTTTTTTCTTTCTTTCTTTCTTTTTTGATCTTTGCATCCCTAAAAACTAAATTTGCATTAGAAATGCAAACTTTTGAGCTGGAACAGCAAAAAGCAGTTCTGCTAGGTGGTGGTAAGGAAGAGAGAGAGAATAGAGAATTACAGAGAGGAGACAGTGAGGAAATGGCTCATTATTTAAAGGGCTGCTGTTGGCTGAGATGGAGCCAACCACTGGGCAAGTGAAGGTTCCAGTTCAAGTGCTGCTGCAAAAATTTGGCAGAGAGGACTTTTGACTGGGTGTCATTTGAGGAGGATTTCCACCCATGCCCTGAAGGCAGAGAGGCTTCTCAGCATAGGGATGGCAAAAAAGACAGTAATAAAAAGCATCTCCTCCTTGATGTCTGGAAGGAAAGTGGTAGAGAGCAAGTGTAAACACAGCAGAGGTGAAAGGAGTGAGAAGTAACGTGGCCAAAGTGGCAGGAAGGGCTGATGATTTCCCTTGATGTTGATACAATCTGGAGGGGTGAGATGAGAAGACTTCTCTTGAATGGGTTCATGCCCTCATTACTTTTGTTCCGGCCTGAGCTGGTTATGTTCTCTGTTATATCTGTGGGGGAATAAGGAAGGATAGAGTGGATCAGGGGAGTTTGCAGAGATGAGACCAGTGAGTTTAGGAATGCTTTTATAAGAACTTGCTCCTTTAAATTATGATCTAAACGTGCCATTTAACTGTGAGCCCATATTTAATTTGTACAAATAAAATGAAGGATGTTGGTAGTGGAAGCTGCTCACAGAACAACAGCTGAACTTGGGGAAGGACATAAAGGTGTGGTGGTATTTAAATGTGTTGCACCAGCCTTGCTGAGCTGCTGCTCGTGTAGAGATGAGCTAATTCACTGACCTTCCCTGGGAGAAAAATCCTCCAGCAGTGCATGTTATGTGCTTTTCACTCCAAGCATTGACTGCTTGCTTTGTGTGTGTAGAACTGGTTATAAGGGAAAGGAGCTTCACTGTGGTACATGAGGCCTTAATTGCTGATCATGAGCTTTTCCCTTTTTGAAAAATATTTCTGCAAATAAATTTCTCCAGCAGAAATGCCATAATTAACTGTTGTTTGAAACTGTCTTGTACAGGAGATAACTGTGTGTCCTGCTGGCAGCAGAGCCTGTTTGTCTTTTGCAGGTAGTGTGACAGAATAGCTGGAATGGCAGAAAATTGCAGTATTAGATTCCTTCTTTACATAAAAACACATTTAGGGTGTCTTGGGCACCAGATCTTGTAGCTGGACACAGTGTTAGGAGCAGCCTGCTCTGGTGCTGAGCGTGGTGCACTCCTCAGGAGCTGGAGACCACTTGGTGACTGCATCCTTATCAGGGCTGGGAATACCCAAAGGACAGGGATTTTCCAAGTGTTTTTGTCAAGGGAGATGGAGATCAACACAGGAAGTGAAGATTTACTGACAACAATGTATTTATTGATTGTATTTATTCTTGTCTCTTGACTTTCTTTTTATGCTCATAGATCTCACCCTAAGACTGTTCCCTGTAACAAGTTGCATTTCTGTTGCTGTGTTGGTTCATGTTGGTACCTCAGATTAAAGTCTGGGAGCCAGTGGGATGTGCTGGCAGTCAATCTCAGGAGATTTTGAAAGGAGGAAGATGGCAAATGTTTTTTAAACTGCATTACAAAAATCTTCTTTACCCTTCAGGATGGATTCCCCATTCGAATAAAGGCTGTTAACATAATAAATGAGCCTCGTATATTCAAAGGCATTTTTGCAATCATCAAGCCTTTTCTGAAGGAAAAGATAGCAAACCGGGTAAGGATTTGTTGTTAATAATAATGCGTTAATATTAATGTGTTAATATTAATGTTTGTAAGTTCCTTGCTTGGCCATTCTTAAAAAAAAAAAAAGAAGTTGTAAAACTTGACAGCTGGAAAAACGTTGGTGCCATTTTACTTGATCTAACGGGTCCCTTCTGCTTTAATTTTTAAAAATATGCTGTTGGGAAAATTCTCAGTGAGAGAGAGACTTTGAGAACTTAACATTGGCATAATATTAATATGGAACTTTAGTGCATATGCTCTGTATTCAGGACATGAGTTCAATCCCTGCAGTTGGATTATTTGGGCCAGTAGCACTTCATTTATGAGGTGGTGTCACAGGAAACCTGTGTTGCCTCTTCCTTGCTCTGTTCCTTTACCCCAGTGTCCTGTATGGCACAGGTATCCTCTCCACAGACTGGGTGGGGTTGCCAGTGATTAAGGGTTTTTTTCCCACAGGGATAAGTACTTACAGTCCCATGGACAAACTTGGTGATGAGTTGAACGTGGAACCTCAGCACAGACAAAAGCCAGGTCCCTGTTGCTGGGAGTTAATCTGCAGTAGATGTGGGTTGTCCCAGGACTCCTCTCCCTGGTGTGTCTGCACCTGCCCCCTACTCTGTGCTACCACTGACCCATAAGGACATCACCCCTAAAATTTGCTCTCTGACTCAAAATAAGCTGGTTAGCTGCCTGCTTCAGCCATTTGCTGCAGAGTGTTCCACGTGCTCTTCTAAAGCTCTTTCTCTTTCTTCTTCAGTTTTTCCTTCACGGCTGCGATCTGAACTCCCTCCACCAAAACATCCCTCCGGCGATCCTTCCCGAAGAGTACGGGGGCACTGCGGGCAAGCTGGACATCTCGGCGTGGAACGAGCTGCTGCTGGCCTCTGAGGAGGACTTCCTGCACGACTTCTCACAGCTGCTCGTGCCCTGTGACAGCTCCCCCCGCGCCACGCTCGTGAGTGGGGACGCCGAGGACAAGCAGTGCGATGATTCTCTGCGGGGCATGAAACCGCAGCTCTACTACTGCTACTGACACCCCAGGGCAGGGGGGCTGCCCAGCAGTTGGGGTCTGCTCTCGTAGGTGATGTTGTGAACTCTGCCTTACTCCTAAACCTGCAGTTTAGGGACAGACTGCTGAGGCACTTTACACTGTAGAACCAAAGGAAGCTGGAGGGGGCACACTGGGGGCAGGGCAGAGTTCGGGGAGAATAAAAGCAAAGAGCACAAGTTACGTAGAAGACTTGAGGCTCATCAACCTCTGTGTGAACGATGCAAATGGCCTATTCTTTCTTATGATAAAGGGAAAAAAAAATATTGCAGGATCATAAGCTTGATATTTTCTTATCCCCTCCTCACACAGGTGAAAAGTGGCAATGATGATTTACTAACTTTGTGATCATCTGTTCCCTTCCCCTTCTGCAAACACCAGTAATCTAAGAAAAGAAAGGGGCTTGTGAACCCTTCAAAATACAGTTCTGTAGTGAAGATTGCATAAACCCGTAAAAGTCTTAACTTGGCCTGTCCTTTGTCACGTGGTTCAGATTGTGAGTTGGCATTTCTGAACTGTCTCAGTGAATATTTGGCTCAAATTAGTACAGAACAAAACTTATTCACGAATACCCATATGGAGAACATCTCTCAAACTTCCCCACAGTAGGAAGAACTGTGACTGATGGATTAACTACTGCAACATCTATCCCATGTTTGCACAACAGCTGCAATCTTCACTTTCAGAAAACAGCAAGTTTTTCAGATAAGTACTTTTGACTAGACAACAGCTTCAAATGAGGTTCAGGGCCAAATAAAAAAAAAGCTGTGTCAGGCACCTTCCCACATTGTCAATTCTTTTCTGGTTGTGATGAGGAATTGGGTTAGTACCTCATACCCAGAATTCATGAGGAGGCTTTGTAGCAGTTGGCATGTGATGTATAGAAGGCAATACTTCATTGTAAGACAGCAAGGTGCTGCTTTAGCTTGTTACTTTGGGCTGAATTTGAGTTTAAGTCTGTGAAACCAAATGCAGACGGGCTTTTTAAAAGCACATTCCTGAATTTCCTGATATTGTAGCATTTTGTTCACTGTGCTTGTTGGCTCTTCTGTGAAATGTTACAAGGTTTGTTTTTAAACTGTGTTAACCTCTTTTGTCTTTGGTTGTCATGTTCCTGTATGGAGTTAGACTTGACTCATCTCTGTGATATTTACTCATAGCTTGTATGCCTGTGCTTCTAGGTCTTTGTCTAGAGACAGAACTAAGGCTCCAGTGTCAAACCAGGGTAAGATACTGATGTCCAGATAAGCTGTTCCCACTCCCCAAGCTCCTTTTGTTTAATGGTCTTGAGTTAGAACTTAACTCTCAGCACACTCTTTGCACACGTTTTTCTGCACTATAATGGTGTGGAGATGGGAACCTCACTAGGACCAGGAGAGCACACCCTGTCACTTCAAGGTGAAATATTTCACTATTTGGTGGAAAAGAATTCCCCTTCTAATTGGGGATTTACCCCTAGAGCACTTTCTCTCAATGAAATCTTTATTTAGTGCCAAATGGGATTATAGGCACCAGTTGTTACGTTTCTGTAAATATAAACCTAAAGCATCTTGAGGATCTCAGACATTTGTTTTTCTAAGTGCCAAACTCTGTTTTGGATGTTTTTCTTCCTCTCAGTCCCCTTACAGCATGACTGCATTGCCAAAAAGAGACAACTCTACCACTGGCTTCCTGACCTGGCAGCAGATCTTATCCCTGAACAAGGGGCAGCAAATGCCATTCCCGTCATCCAGGCATTATAAAAAGAGACTGGGTCTTGAAAAGGGGTAAAACTGTGATGGTTTTTTTTCCTGGGTGGCAGTTCAGAATTTGTGGAAGCAGAGGACTCATCACAGGAAGAGTTTTAGATTGAAGGTGGGAAGAGATTAATCTTCCTCGATGGAAGCATCTGATTTTTCTTACCTTTATAAGTAAATTGTAACTCCTATTTGGTAGCTGTTACCTTTAGTGTGGAGATAAAAAAACAAACTACCATTTTCATCTACTTGAAATAAGGTGAAAGAGTACTGCTAGCCACCTCCTCCTTTGTGACCAGAATGTGCTGTGTGTTGTGCAGAGATTAAATCAGATTTTTACCACATAGCAAGGCAGGAACACCACAGGATTTAGGGCGGGTCAGTGGCTGCCCACACTGCTGAACTGCCAGAACAGAGAGGTTGGTGGTTTTTTGTTGTTCTAGTGCCTCTTAATTCCAGTCACAGTGTAAAACTAAAAAAAAAATAAATAGGATGGACCATTTCTCCTAGAGGTGAAGGCCTGACAGTCTTTCCTTAATCCTGCTGCAGGGCTGGAAGTGTTGGTGTTTGGACAGTTAACTGGAGGAACAGCTACTTTGAGTCCCTTATGTAACTACTGGAGAGGGAGTTGGAATACTCAAAATACAGTGTCCTTCAAAAAGAAAGAAATCTCGTGGTGTTCAGCAGAAGGCTGAGGAACCTCTACAAAACCCACCCCCTTTTCCAGGCTTCTGTATCCTCCTGCAAGCCTTAAACAGCAGGCAGCCTAGATCCACCTCACCCTCTTCTCTCCTCTGCTCACGGAGAAACTAAGAATAAAGAACATGATTTAACCACAGTAGATAACCAGGTTTCTTGCTTGGGGTTTGTTGGGTTTTTTTCTTACAGCACTACAACCAACCTGTTCTTTTTCCCACCTGAAATAACTTTGTTTCCAGAGGTTACACGCCTTGCCCAGTACATGAACCATCCCTGCCAAATCCAACACGTCATAAGGGAAGATACTGGAACTCCATTGGCATTAGGTGGGACAAAAGGTAGCTGCAAACTGTACATTAGTAAAGTACTTGAATTTATACTCTTGTAAACGGGTGTTATGAGCCCTGAGGTATTTTCAGGAACTGGCTTAAGTATTGTTTCTGTTAAATCTCATTTTGGCATGAGTTAAATCATAGTGTTCCTCAAACTAGTAATTTTGCCTTCTGTTGTACGTGGGCCTAGAGGTGTTGGGTGGTTAAGTGTACATCTTATTTTGACAAAATTTATTTTTATATTGCATTTTATAAAATGAAGTCGTCAAAAATGTGTAATTTTATGATGCATGACTGGGTAATTAAACACATTGTAACAGCTGCTAATTCAGTATTTTCAGTATGTTTGTCCCGTGTCATGTTGGGATATTTTACCATAAAAAGTTAACAGCAACATAGAAGTTTCACACTAAACACACAGTTGCAACTGAGTATAATCACCACTAGCACTGGGTTAGCAAAAGGTGTTGCTTTCTGCTGCAGAACTAAAGTTTCCTTGTACAACTGAACCTGAGCAATTTAAGGGATGGGATTTGACACTCAGAGAATCACAAGGAAGGTGGTGTTATGACTTACACCCAGTGACATCCCACTGGACACTGCAGCAGCTGATCACTGTGTGTGGTATTTTCCATCAGAGAATTAACTGCTGCTTAACAATTAACAACTGGGCCAGTTTCAGTAGTTAGTCTGCTTTATTCAAATGAGTTTACAGTGCAAATGCCTTAGTGCCAATAGTAATAATAATAATAATTTCACATACAATATTTTTATAAGCCTATCAGACAAGTGAAATTAACCCATCAACAAGCTCTGGTTTTCCAACATAATCATAAAGTTGATTAAGCTACTGATACACTTACCACTCTAATTGACAAACGTACTAAAAAAGAAGTTACCATAGAAGTTGCTCCTTAGAAAGGGCAAGTCTGTTCTTAAAAAGAATTAATCAGTTTTTCAATCTCAGAGTTCTGTTCTTTTGGTGAGGAACAAAGGGCATTGTTTGGGTTTTTTTTGCCACAACAAAAAATTAAGTAATTTAAATAAAGTTTTCCTTTAAATAAACTTTTGCAGTGGAATGTAGAAATCAAGCAGCATGGCTTACACTTCCAGAAACTGAAGCCTTAGCATACTAGTGCATTATGCTGAATATAAGTGTTCTTTAAAATATATTACTTCATATTTAGCTAAATGTTACTTCTATTCAACAGAAGGTTGTGGCTATTGGACAGAACAGATAAGTTTCTTTTGTGCTTTGACAGCACAGCTGTAGTGATTTTTAAAAATGCAGTAATAAGATAACCCTGATGAAGGTTAAAATAGATAACTGATGATAATTTTGATGCTGCATCAAGCTTTATGCAATACGTAACTTTCCATCCAACTGCACGTTAATATCAACGTAAGAAACAGTAACTAAAGCAATAAATGAACATTTTGGCTTTCAGCAGAAGAGTTCCTCACTTTTGTAAGCTCAGACAACTGCAGCAAGTTAACTGAAGTCTCTATTAGTAAGGACAAGAGGAGCCACTAAGGTCCAGAGATAGAGAAGCAGACAAACCCAGCTGGAGGTTATCTTCACCCACACGGCCGGCCACTTACTTGTCATTGTCTTGAAATCTGCATCAGGGCTAGAAAAGTGAAGAAGGCAATTAGATACAGAAAAGCACTTTCCACTGTTCCTTGCTAGCGCTCTATGAATCTGAAGTTAGGGCAATCATTTGGGGCTTTCCAATGCAAAAACCTTTGTGAGAACACAGACAACTCAACCAGGGTGAAGAGCCAGTAACATCAGCCTGGCCTCTGACAAACTTCCCAGGAGGCCACCTGGAACCAGTTTCATATCTACCCTTCCTGCTACTTGCTCATCTGAAGGATGGCAGCCCCGCTTCGTGCCCTTGCAGTCCCCCAGCACCACAGCTGCTGATTCTCCCACCCACCTGGGAACACCGGCCGGCACATACAGTCACTTTCCACCTCGCTCCTACCTGTACCAGTTGGTGAGCGTCATCATGATGTAAAGAGAGGCGAGGAAGAGCATGAAGTGGAAGAAGGTGTAGCTGTACTGAACGCCGTCCTTCTCGTTGTCCGTCACACGGCGCACTTCCCCCTCCTCCGCGGCCCCGCTGCCGCTCCCCAGGGTCTCCTCCAGGATGGCAGTGTCGCTGCCAGACAGCGTCAGCTTGTTCACCTGGCTGTTACTGGAGGAGCGGATGCTGCAGGGGGACAAGAGAGCCGTGGTGAGGAGCCCTGGGACAGTTGGCTGTTTGTTAATACCCCAACAGGGCACACGGAACGCCCGCCACTCGCAAGCGGTATTTTTTTTTAAACCCATCTGGAAACGTCAGGGAAGTCCTCAAAGAGAAGTGTTCTCATCCAAGCTTCTGTTATCCTGGGTAAACAGCACTCCTAGTCCAGATCACAGAATGGCCTGGGCTGGAAGGGACCTCTAAAGACCTAGTTCTGACCCCCCTGCCATGGGCAGGGACACCTTTCACTAGACCAGAGCTCCAACCACCCTGGCCTTGAACACTTCCAGGGATGGGGCATCCATAACTTCCCTGGACAACCTGTTCCAGGGCCTCACCACCCTCAGATTGAAAAATTTCTTCCTAATATATAATCTAAACCTACTCTCAGTTTATGCCATTCCCCCTTGTCCTTGCAAACAGTCTCTCTCCATCTTTCTTGTAGCTCCCCTCAGGTACTGGAAAGCCGCAATTAGGCCATCCCTAAGCTGCCTCTTTTCCAGGCTGAACACTCCCAATTGTCCCAGCCTTTCCAGGTGTTCCATCCCTCTATCATCTTGTAACACCTGTTCTCTTGCCTGGATTGGGGTTGATAAATCCTATCCTCATCCACAAAGCTGAACAGAGGTTGATGGGCCCGAGGCAGCAGCTGGATGTGAATAAATGCAGGTACATTTTGCTCTAGACCCAGGCTCTAACAAAAGAGGCAGACAAATCCAACTGTTTATCACTGGATAGCAGTGCAGATCCTACCTGGAATACAACAGGCAAAGGACAAAGATGACCAGTCCAACAACACTCTGGGCATCCCACCACTGCAGGGACTTGGGCGGAGCGGGAGTGGCAGGTGGGACAGTGGCATTGGCTGGAACAGCCGTGGGTGCAGCTATCTGGGTGATGATGTTCAGCAAACTCGGGTTGCAGTTTCTTTCTGAAAGGGATTTCAAGGCAGGTTAGAGAAATGAGCTTCCTACCAGCTGGGCAAGGGCATAATAAATAAATAAATAAATAAATAAATAAATAAATAAATAAACCCAGAATGCTCTAACACTGGTTTATTTTCCTCAAAAATACCCCAGTTTAGTTCTGCAAAAAGGCAGTCTGCTTACCAGGCTCGTTGGACATGGCTGCCCAGGTGAGGTACATGGTGTAGAGGGTGATGACAGACGACTGCAGGAGCCCAGAGCGAGGCTGATGTTCCTGTTCCAAGACAGAAGAGCAGGCCAAGGTCAAAAGGGCAAGTTTTAGCTGGGGTTGGATAGTTTTACCCTGCTGCCACAGAATCAGCAGTTCCTGGCATGAAAAGCTTTGTTTTAGAAATGCACTGGGGCTTTGCTCTGTGCTCAAAAGGCTGGGAGAAACTCCTTAGGCATGTAACTTCAGCAGCAAGCAACTCAAGCATGGAAGGAATAAGCAAACCAAATCATTTTTCTGTGGCCAAGACTCTGTTATGGATTCTTACTGAGCTAATCCCAGCTTTTTAACCAGTTTTGTAGGTGTCAATCTAGCATGTGACTTGAGCAGGACCAGTTCAGAATCAAGTAACGTGCAAGTGTACTCTTGTATTAAACAAGCTTACCCATCATTTCAAAGCCACAGTACTAAGCCAATAAATCTCCAGCTTATTTTGCTGCTCCCTACCAGGTTTCTCTGTTCTCCCAGAACCCTCACCCCTACAACCATGTCAGCAGTCCTCCACGTGGAAACAAAGTCCAAAACTATGTTAGCTAAAAAAAAAAAACCTCTCTACAGAAAATATGTCACTACATAGTGCATTGATTGCAGAGCAAGGTATCTTTTTTAAAGTTCTTAGCTAGCATAGCTATGATAGCCACATTTTAGAGTTCTTATGCCTGAATGAATTGGTTCTACATCCTCCCCACTTCTGTGCTTTGTTATGTCAGAAGAAAATACCAGAGAAAAACAATACCTGAACTTTTGGAAGGATAGAAACAATGGAGACAGCAACACACAGGATCATGTTAAAGCTTATGAAGAACTTGTTCTCAGTGCAGTCATCAGGCTTCGTGTAGAAAACGTAGAAGAGAACGACAAAAACCAGGGACAAGGCGTAGAACAAGCTTGTACAGGACAGCAGAGCTGCAATTGTTAACAACACACAGGCACTTTTAGCAGTCCATCCCAAGTGACTCAATGTCCAGCCACCACTGCCATCAGACAGTCCTCACCTGGCAGGCTGGGCCAGGAAACTAAACTAGCAGAGTGCATTTTTCTTAGGTATGGCTGAATTTCTGCTTGGGCTCACTAAGCAGTGCAGCTCAGAGGAAAGCCAGTGGTGCCATCAGGGGAGTAAGACTCGCCTTTCAGCATCACTTTAATTAGTTTAACTGATGCCAAGCCACAGTGACAAAATGAGAGTGCTTTTTGCACACTTCTCATGAGAATTATCAGCCCTGAATTCCTCCTCCTATGCTAGAGGCCACCCATTTTCATTTCCGCTCTGTCATGTTCTTTCTAAGAAGCTACAAAATGCTGTTGCAGCATTCTTAGCTGCGTGCAAAGAACCACAACAATTAGCACTTTGTAATTAGTGGCCGGCTGGGGAGCACGTGCCAAGGCAACACTTGGTGTGGCTCTGCCAGAAACAACGGAGCTCCTGGGGCACCACAGCAGGGGAGTGGCAAAGTTTAGATCCGAAGAGAACCGGGCTCTGAGCTCTGCACTGCAAACCCAGCAGGGCTGGTTACTGGCACTGTCAGACCTGCTGATCACGAGGCTAAAATATTTTGCATTTTATTCAGTGGGAAAAAGGCAACTCTGCAGCTTTTAATTCCACGCCTTCACAGTAAGGAGTGTAAGTGCAGCTACATCTACAAACTAGCAAGTGATGTTCTGCAGAGCACTGCCCAGCAGAAACAAATCCCTCCCAGGTTCAGATTCCTACCTGCATACCAACATTTAGCATTTCCCTCATCCATTCTATCAACCCAGCTCTCATTCCAGGAGTGAGCAAAGTCCACAAGAAGCACCAGCTGGATGAGAATGAAGAAGAAGGCTCCAGAAACACCAATCCAAAACCAAGCTACAAAAGGGAGCAAGGAAAACAGGGTTAGCTTCCATCATTTGCATGTTACCTCAGGTAAAAAAATTAAAAGCCCCTCATTATACTGCAGACAAATAATGAAACAATCTGTCAGTGTATTTAGAAATGCAGATGCTGTTAATCACTCTGGCCCCCGCCCTGCAGAAGTGTGCAAGGAGCCCCAGCTATTCAAGGCTGCAGATGATCCTGGACAAGCTGAGCATGGGAATGCTGAGCCCAACATGTTTTCAGAATGAATGCAACATCTAACACACCATAAATTTGTGCACATAAGTGCCACCATGCCACATTTCTTTAAGGGTCAACAACCCTTTGAAGTTGCTGTGATGTGAACAGACAGTAGAAGTTTCTCACACAGATTTTTTTAGACTCTAGGCAAGTATTTAGCACTCAGTGCTCTGAGCTGCCTCCGGTCTAAGTAGTGTCAGAAGACTCAGCCCAGTGGTGACTGTCTCATGGAGTACAAAATTATTGATACCCAAAACCTGTGCAGGTTTAACAGCCATAACTTCAGCTGGTCACCAAAATACTGGATGAACCAAGATACTCTTAAAGAAGCTGGGCAGAAACTGCACCTTCTGCAAGAGAACTTTCACTGTTGCAACTATAGTCTGGTAAGTCTGTGAAAAGACCTGAGTTTACTCATCAGAACCCATGGTATTGACTGTACCTCTTGTGAAGGGCCCTTCGGGGATGTAAAATGCTCCAACCATGATGGCCACAATGGCAGCTATTTTGAAGAACCAGAACCTTTAAAAGAAGACAGGAGTTGTAAATACTGGTCTTAATCTGTACACAGCAGTCATGTGCTACAGGATCTGCAAGCAGCTTGGTCCTGCTCCAGCCAGGGATTTGGATCACATGGTCCTGTTGACCAGAGAGGTCAAGGCTGTAGAATCCCCAGCCCTGGAGGTGTTCAAGGCCAGGCTGGACGGGGCTCTGAGAAACTCTGGCTAGTGCAAAGTGTCCCTGGCCAGGGCAGGGGGTTGGAATGAGATGAGATTTAAGGTCCCTTCCAACCCCAATGCTCTCCAAACATCCCTTTCCAATTAAATGACTCTATGATGATGAAGTCACCTAGCCCAGAACTAACCCACTTAAATCAGGAAATCAGGGATTGGCAATCAGGAAGCAGTTTCTGCTGGCTGAGTCACACTGTGAGTGACCCAGTGAGTGTCAGAGGCAATCTCACATCTCTGTGGGAACACAGAGGGGTGCCCAGAGCACTGCCCTTTTGGCTACCCCACCTCAGAGCAGGACACTCAATCAGTACATTGAACATCTGACACAGGAAGCTTTTGGGGACACCAAAGCACTGCTCTGTGCTCAGCCCAGAAGGAACTCGAGGCTGTCAAAAACCAGCTTGCCAGTGTGTTCAGCAGAGAAACAGGAGCCCACCCAGCTCTCACCCCCTTACCCGTTGTGAATGGAGGCTCTGGGGTCGTTACTTGTCTTCACCTCTATCATGAGCAGGGAGAGCAGGAAGAAGAACACGGCCATGGCAAAGCTGACCCTGTACACAGCTCTGTACCCCACGAACACGTCACAGCTCACAAAGCCCTCCAGGTGGGGCAGCCGGGTGTGGAGCCCCTCATCACAAAATCCAGGGATCTGGGGGAAGACAGTTCAGTTGTGAGTTTGTGCATTTGCAATCGCCTCCTTTAAGCCCTGGAACAGGCACTGCTTTCAGTCAACTGCCCTCTGGGAGAGCTGAGAACAAAGGGCCTCGTGCTCAGGCCCCATTATGGCCTGGCTGTCCCCGTGTCAACACTTTTCATCCAGGAAGATTAAGATACCACAGCAGCAGGCCCCTTATAACAGCTGACCACCTCCAGGTCTGCTCAGGTTTCAGAGACCAGGCATGTGCTGGAAAAGGCACATTGACTGAATCTGCTGTTTCAGCTCCAAGCCTCTCAGCTCAGGGAACAAGGGCACTTGGGTGTTGGTGCCTCTCACATAACCCATTCCAAATAAAGACAATCAATAGCCACTGGCACAAGGAATGGCTTTTCAAACAGTCAGAAAGAGGTTTTCCCCTCCCTACCTTTTTCAGCTGCTCTTCCATGCCTGGCGCCAGCATAATGCAGGCAAGCACAGTGCTGAGGAGGAGGAGGAAGGCATAGATCAGACGTGTCACCGTCGAATTCTTGCTGTTGGGACAACATCGGCACAGCAAACACGAGGCACCGCTGCACAGACAGGGGATCTGAAGGGCAGAGACAGGAACAGTAAGGGCATTTCCCTCGCAGCTGACACCGGGGCGCCAGAGGAAAACCCGAGCTCCATCTGGAGACACTCCCCGGCCGGACCGCACCGATAAACGCCAATCGGTGCTTCTGGCACACAGCGTGTGTGCGGACACCCGCAGATAACCCCGATTATCGCCCTGGCTGCCCCCGGGCGGATCCGGGCCGGGACGGAGCGGGATCGCTCAGCCGGGCCCCGCTCTGCCCCAGGGGCCGCCATGGCGGCTCAGGCCGCGCCGGGGCACACCGGGCGGTCAGCGGCCCCGCGGCCCCGCGGCGGGCCGGGCGCGCTCCCCGGGCTGTCGGGGAGGCTCGGGGGTGGGACGGGGGTGTTCGGGGGGCACAGGACCCGCACTCACCCAGCTGGCGAGCGAGCACACGCCCAGCACGGCCCCCATGGCGCCGCTCCCGCTTCCGCCCGCACCCCGCGGCCTCAGGGGGCGGGGCCGGCCGGGCGCAGCCGCCGCCGCCCATTGGCTGCCGGCCCGCCCGGAGGAGCCGGCCCGCCAATGAGAAGGCGGGACGGTGGGGCGGGGCGGGTAGTCGTTGTTTATCAACAGCGCTTCCGCCTTCGCCGAGGGGAGGCGGGGCGCTGATTGGTCCAGAGGCCGGGAGAAGGCGGTTCCTCCGGCAAGGCAGCCAATGAGCGGGGCTGATTTGGAGCTGGACAGCAAATCCGGATCTCCCTCTGCCTGCGGCCGCTGGGGGCGCTCGGCGGAGCCTCGGCGGGCGCGGGCGTTGCCATGGCAACAGCGCCGGTCACCGCCGTGTCACCGGGGGGGCTGGGGACACTGGGGACACTGCTGTCACCTCCCTGTACAGGGCATGGGACACTGCTGTCACCTCCCTGTCCAGGGCATGGGGACACTGCTGTCACCTCCCTGTACAGGGAATGGGACACCGCTGTCACCTCCCTGCCCAGGGCATGGGGACACCGCTGTCACCTCCCTGTACAGGGCATGGGACACTGCTGTCACCTCCCTGCCTACCCACGGCATGGGGACACTGCTGTCACCTCCCTGTCCAGGGCATGGGACACCGCTGTCACCTCCCTCCCTGCCCACGGCATGGGGACACCGCTGTCACCTCCCTGTCCAGGGAATGGGGACACTGCTGTCACCTCCCTGCCCAGGGCACGGGGACACTCCCTGAGGCAGAGGCTCCCTGCAGCCTGGGAGCAAATGAAATGGCTGAGAGGTGGCTGGGATGATAACAACACTATAAATTGACAGAAGTTTACACAGAAGTTTGGCAAAGCAGTTTGCATTGGTTTTAACTGGCATTAGGGCTGCAAAATATCCCAGGGCAGGGGCAGAACTGACCAGCTGGAGTTCGAGGATGTTTTCTGGCTGTAGCAATTCCAGCTATTGCACATCGCTTCCCGCTGTGCCAGACCCTTCTTGCCTTCACACAGTCCCTGGTCAGAAAACCTGCTTTCACCACAGAAAGGGACGAATAATCAGAGTGACAGCTTTATTGCCACCTAAAATTGCCAAGAAATGACAAAGAGCATCCAGTAAAGCAGCCACTTATTTTCCAGAGCAGCTTTAACACTCAGAATTTATGAACATTGTGTTAACAATATCATCTCTCTTGTAATCAGCCTTATTCATGGAGACACACGGGCTTCTTTCAGAAAAAGGTCACTCCATAAATCATAAAATAAAGCATAAATCATTGAGACTGTGCTTCCTTCAGAAAACCTATGAGCTTTTACTTTATTGTTAACATATTTTTATTACCCTTTTGGTTGCACCAGCTGCATCTCTTAAGAAAGGTTTTGCCACATCCCTGCTCCTTCACTGTTTGTTCCAGTGAACGGATGCAGGACAACGGCACAGTCCCAAATTCTGTGTTCCCGGTGGTCATGGTAAATAATTCCATAGGTATTCTACTAATACAGTGATGAAACTCATCTAAATCCTGTGAATGTTTTCTTCACAGGACATTTATGAGCCAAATAGTTTTGTTAAGTGCTGTGGGATCCTCCACTGGGTTAAGCTGGGCAGAGACAAAGGATACAGATAAAGAGCTTTTTCCTTCCACCCTCCACATAACAGGAGATTTCCAAACGCTCGTTTTGCTTTCCAAAATACCCCCCCTCTGATCCTGCATCACATCACCTCAAACCCTACGTGCTTAACAGGAGATAAGGATGAAGTCAGCCCAGGGACTGTCAGCTCTGGGAACGAGACAGGATATGGCAGGAGGTTATCCTGGTTTGTCCAAAAATACCCTGCCCTGGCACGTTAATCAGCTCTGACAGCAGAGTGACACGGTGCATCCCTCCTGCAGCCACACTTTACACCCCCTGCACGTGTGAGTTGAAATGCCTAGAATAAACCCCTTGAAATGAGGTAATATTTGAAGGAAACGTGTCAGATTTAGTCATTGGAAAGCAGCTCTCTGCAGTTCTTTGTGCAGCTGAGCTCATAAAAAGGTGCCACTCAAGCTTGTGCGTTCGTGCTATTCTTGTTACTCTCAAGGGTCTCCTTTCTGTGATAACAAAAACCCAGAACTTTTCCTGATGCTCCCCAGAGTATTTGAAGGTTCCTGCTCTGCATGTGCTGTGTTTTTGCAGGTAACAGATCCCACAGACAGTTTATAATCCTTTGACCGTCCAGAATCTTTTGGTCTGGTGAAGGAAAGTGCAAAATGTTTCTACACAGACTCATATACAGGTCTGAACATCTTACTGTGTGCTCTGGCCAGCTTAAAGTTCCAAATCTTAAGATATCAGCATTAGCTTTCTAATATAACCCGACTAATTATTGGATTTCTGTAAAGCGTTTAGGTATATTTGTATGTATATGTGTATGTATATGTATATGTATATTTATATTTATATGTATATTTATATTTATATTTATATTTATATTTATATTTATATTTATATTTATATGTATAACTGTGCTTTGAATGGATGTCCAGAGCATAAAAAAACTGCAAAGTTTTTTTCAGGGCAACTGCTTTTCCAGCTGTTTAGTCCAGGCTGTGGGTTGAGCTCTGCTCCACCATCCAGATTTTAAAAGGTGCTCTGAGAACAGCTGTCAAAGCCCTCCATCCACGAGGAGGTTAGTCACTAGATAATGGGCAAAATACGGCTACAGCTGGAACCACCAGTGGGTTTAATTAGCCCTTAAACGATCAGAATTAACAGCTTCTACAAAATCATGATGTTCCAGCAGGGTAGAAAGTCCTGCCAAGTACGAATATTGTAAAGCCCCTGGATGACTTTCAGTGGGGTCTGATGTAACTGTGGATGCAGGGGGGGACTCGCTCACCCCTGACGTGCAGAGGCCAAGGTGAGCTGTCTGCTGCCCTTCCCTGGGGACACACGGGGGAGCAGAGCCAACAGTGTGGCTCTTCTCTGCTGGCTTCACACTCACAACAAACCCCTGCCATCTGAGACCAAGAAAAGCCAACCTAGTCCACGCTCTGGAGTCTTCAAACACCCAACCCGCTTTTCTCCGCAGTCCTTTTGCTCACGATTTTGTAATTCTCTTCTTGCCTTGACTGCGTGCTCTGTGACTGCATTAGCACCTGCCTCTGCACTTCTTAGGCTCTCTATTTTCCTATCATGTCATGGATCCGTGAGTCATCTTATTTGTGATCTGCTGAGCTGAGTGAGAGTCACAGTGGAGTTGTGTGCTTCAAGGCCATTAGTAACGCGGCTCAAACTTGCATAATATATCCTTCTGTGCCTAAATCCCTGAGAGATTGAGTAACTGTTTTCTTTTTCACCCCAAGTGACTATGCAACTGGATGAGTCACTGCTGTTATGATAGAGGAATCGTAATCTTGTGTCTTTCCAGTTTTGTTTGGCCAGAAATTTATTTTATAGGACACCTTTCTTCAGTCTCCTCTAAGTCTTTATAGGTCACCAGAGACCTTTTCACTGACTTTAGTTCACTTAAGATCATGTGCTCTGGTCTGGAAACTGCATTAGATTAGGTTATGGGTGAAACAGATGGAGAGAAACATTCACCTTTATCCAACACCCTGGAATGATATTACTGAGCTCTTTCATCCCATTATTTATGGAAGCATTAGTGAAACCTAAACGTACTGAAAAGCGCTTAAATAACGGTAAATAAAAGCTTACTTAAAAAACCAACAACAAAACATAAACAGAGATGGATTGGAGGGAATATTTTGTACAAAAGATCTGCAGTGACATCTGTGAATGAACCACGGAAAGAACGAGCAACAGATGGCTGGTGAAAAGGAGGAGGGAGCGAACCTTTCGTGACAGGTGAACGTGGTAGCCCTGCAAGAAGCAGGGGGTGCTCAGACAGGGCCCTCTGGGGAGCAGGATCTGCCCCAGAAGGGTCTGGCACTGTTGGAGCAGCCTTAGCCCTGCACCAACACGAGCTGGCAATGACTGTCCCATGAGGAGCCCGGGAGCCAGAGGCATTGCTGGAGCTGGCACCTTCCTGCAGGGCAGCGCCCCTGCCCCGCCTGGCACAACTGAGCTGAGCTCAGGTCTGGTGCTGGAGCTCCTCAGGCTCTCCAGGACATCAAGGACCCTGCTTTGTAGCCACTTCAAGAGCGGGCAGCCACCAAGCAAGCCAGTCTTCCACTCCAGTATTGCCCAAGCACACTTAAAATGTTGCTGAGTTCATTGTTTCAAATGTTTCTGTGCCTTTTCCTCGCCTGATATATTATTTTTTTATCAAGTCAGGATTTATTTCCCCTGTCTCTGTGACCCCATCTCTCCCCTGAGAGCCTGCACTGAAATCCAGCTGGCCAGCCTTCGTGTATCAGCGATGGCTGCAGCACAACAGCTCTGAGTGAAAGAACAGTGGGAGGAAAAGTCAGGAATTTCTGGATTTAATCCTGCCTTGAGCAGTGACGAGTTGTGTGGCTTTAGGTGAGCCACAGGACTATGTGAGTCAACATGTAATGTGAGAAAATGAGCATATCCCAGGGTCATGGCAGACTCTGTTCATTCATCTTTCAATGCAGCTTAAAATCTGACGAGTGCCTGATGCATTTTTTTTTCTTGTACTAAAAAGAGCAGTACAGAATCATACTGGACATGATAATTACTTTTAGCTGGAGATTTTTCCCCCCCTCCTCTTCCATTGTCCCCCACGCTGGTGCTGCTGCTTTCCAAGATGTTCTGCAGCTAGTGAAACAGTTCTTTCTCATAAATCTTTTAAATCATGTAAATCCTCCCAGCGTACCAGCTGACATTTCAGATGTTGCATTTTTGCATTTGTGCCAGGAAGCTCTGAGCATGTTGCAGTTGCTTATGTTGTTGAATTTTTTTTTTAAAGGAGGCAAAACAGTTCCTTCCTCTTGTGTCTCCAGCAGAGACTGCTCCTCCTTGAGAAAGGAGTTCACATGATCATATAGATGCGTCAGATAAATCCCTTCCCACGTTTGATATTTGCTAAGTTGAATGATTGTTATTCCAAAGCCAATAGCTGGGATGGT